GTTTCCAGCATCCCTTAAGGAAACTGTAGTCTCAGTACAGTAGACGCTCATTAGTAGCAACATATCAATGCCCTTTTGCTATGTTGCTCCTAAGCAGCTATTGCTGTTATGGGGAGTGTCGACAATTCACAGTAGGGAAAGGGTTCCCCAGGGATGGCTGCTCTTAGAAGGTGTTGCTGCAAACGAGTGTCTACTATATTTCATTCTGTACTCTGGAAAGAACACAGAGAAACTTTTTATGTTATAAAGTATACTGTAAGGACACTTCTATTATTTCTGCATGGTTAACCCTCCCAGATTTTATATTTTAGCCATACTGCTTGAATACCTTTTAATCATGTACCAGAATACATCTTTTAAGGAAAGTATTTGCAATGTTTTCCAGTCCTTGTGTGACAGCAGCCAAGCTTCTATGACTTCTCATTACATTCATTTACTATATTGCCTAACTGTGAGAGGATATAGGTCTTGTCCTACTAATCTGAGGAATATTAACAAATTAATCTCTGATATTAGTTGTGCTCTGCTGCAGAAGCCTTCCTAGTGTTTCATTTGGAGCACTTATGATTGGATATCTGTGTACATGAGTGCAAAGGTACTGAATGTAAGATTATTAGAAACTCGGGATTAAGTAGTCTACATCTACAATGTAAAACCTTGCAGCAATCTCACTTAAGGAACAATAAAATGTCATCTTTACATAGTGCTATTCGCAATGTTGTAACATCAGTAGTTTCATAAGAACAAAATTAAATTCTTAGATTCTTTTATTTGGAAGTGTAGTATGTGTATGTTTCAGCATATACCATAAAGAAAACTAACTAGGATTATATGATTTTTTTTATTTTTATTTATTTTGGTGGGGAGTTTCTCACTTCCTTTGCTGAACTCTCAGGATTTGTCTCCTAACCGTTCAGTCCACATTCCAGCTACTATCTATTGTGGCCCAGGAGGATAGGTTGAGACAATGAAGAGTGCTCATGATTTGCAGGAAAGGTGATTCCTGAGTGGCATGAGCTGTTGATTTTCTTTGCAGCTGTTGAGAGTGCCACCCCTGTAGCATTCCTAGTCTTTGCTGCCTGAGAAATGATATGCCTGCATCAGGAATCAATCCCACTTATCAGCACAGAATCTTGCCAATTGACTACAAGGCCAATCCTTTCATTTTGCTTCTAACTTGTACAATTATTCCCATCAGTGAAGCTAAATGCAATAGGATACATTAATGTACAATAAAACTACACTTTTAAATGCACAAAGGTCAGGAAATGGAAAAATAAAGGTCCTAGTAACATGAATTTGCCCCATTGCACATATATAATAGCTCTGATATATGGACATAGTGGGCCAAATTCTGTTTCTGTTAAGAGATTCCATCCCATTTCAAGTCTGTTGCATATTGTTATATCTCTCTGAGACGTTCTCAGTCTCCTTATAAATGTCTCCAGTAGCAGCGGTTCCACTTGCCCCTGGGTGGTGTGTCACAGGGAAGTGGGGTCATTAGATTACTGAAACCCTAACAGTTACCTGTGTCATGCTGAAAAGTAATTCCTTTTTTAATCTCAGAACTATTTTTCAACTTTAACAACTAGTTATAATGACATAGATACATATGGAAATAGCAGCACAGGTTCCTGAAGTGCTGGTTTTCTTTTAAATAGGTGAATTTGTAATTGTCCCTAGAAATAATAGTTAAAACCACACTGAAGATGAAAAAAAATTATCCATTTATTAAGTATTATTAGTATTATATTTGAAAGAACACAATGAGTAAGAATGCATACTATATAGCCATTAAAATTCAGAAATGAAAAGTGTCTGCAGAACCACTATTCCTTAGAGGATGTTGTCACAAAAAGTCAAATAGCCTTTGAAACCACAGACTTGTTGATGCATATATAATGCGTTAGCTAACTTATGCTAATGATGCATATTTATCTGGAGGAATGAGTAGAGCTGATTGGGAATATTTCACCAATATATTTGTTGTTGGAAAATTCCCATTTGCCAAAATTGGAAACTTTTAATCGAAATATCTGTTTCAACAAAACTTTCTTCAGGAAGGTTTCTCAGATCCAGGTTGGAATTTCTGGTGAGAGAGAGAGAGACCTCAGAACAGTCCAGTGGTTAGGACACAGGTGAACAGCTAATAGCCTGGTGGTTAGGGTACTTACTGGAATGCGGAAGATCCAGTCTAAAGTCCCTGCTATGTCTAATTCAACTTGGGTCTCCAACATCCCAGGTGGTGCCCTGACTGCCTAGCTATTCTGGGGTTCTTTCTCAATAACCCTTGTTGGAACTGTTCCCTCTGTATAAATAATTAAATATTATTTGGGCAAGAAAGAGACTGACTCTGGGATATGGGAAAACCAGCTTCAAGTCCCTACTCTGAATTAGGCAGACTATCACTTGGGTTTTGCATATCCCAACAGAGTGCCCTAACCACTGGTCTATTGGCTATTCTGGGGTAGGTGGATCAGTCTCTCTGTTTTTCTGCCAACGTTTTTGAAAGGTCTCAGTTTTGTCCTGATGAGGAAAAAACGCAAATTCCAAATCCTCAACATATTTGGGGAAACAGAATTTTTCTGGCCATCCCTCATAATGAGCTTGAAACTCTTGGTGTTGGTGTCTCACCATCACAGACTGGTGATTGTCTCAGGTTGTGCCATAGTTATAGCATATGGATCCTATGCTGAGTGACAGAAACGTTTATTGGGTTTACGTTTATTGACTGAAACTTAGTAAATACCATCACCTTTCCCGGAACTACACAATAGGTTAAAAATATTGTTTACTGCATGTGAGAAACTATAGGTTTTTTTATAGACAAATGATGCATTTGCTAGTTACACATTCACAATAAAATTAGATCCAAGTCCTTTTCTGGCCTTGTGTATAATGGCGTTATCCTCACAGTGAGGCCTATTTAAGTGAACACACCTTCCTGTTAACATACATAAATAAATACACTGTTTAAAAAAAAAAATCCAAGAGACTTAACATGGTGTGTAGCATGTGGTGCTACCTAAGCAACACTGTAAACTATTCTCTGTATTCCTTCATTCCTGCCCACTTGTCAAGGGTTACTGTCTTCCTCCCTCTGCTCCTGCTTTTGTATACCTGTCCCTTGCCCCTATTTTGCCTTCTGTGTTGTAGCTTTAGGGCCCAGTCCTGCAAACACTTACTATGAGGAGCAGTGTCCACACTGTGAATGAGTCCCCAGTGGGCCTGATTATGGTATTAAACACTATGCTCTGTGTTTGCAGGATTGGGCCACTATATTGTAAGTGTTTGGGGACAGGGTATGTAAATGGCTTATCATACTTTGGGTGCTGTATAAACAATAAAACTGCAAACTGTTTGAGGCAGGGACTGTCTTTTGTTCTGTGTTTGTACAACACCTTGCAAAATGGGGTCATGGTCCATGACTAGAGCTCCTAGGTGCTACCACCATAGTAATACTAATAATTAATTATCTTGCTGTTTTTCCAGTTATTCAAAGTAGTCTGCTTTATTAGTCAATAAAATATCTTTCATACTGTATTGTACTTATGGTACAAGGCTGTGAATAGGATTCAGAATTAAAATATTGTTTTTATTCACAGAATTATTTTTTCCCCCTCTTAAACTTAAAGCATTTCAGTTCAAATGGATTTGTCTCCTGATCATGTGAAAAGGCCCTTCTTATGGCAGAGGAAACTGTGAAGAGCTCTCTGGTCTTGTATCAGATGAGCTGGACAGCATGTCTGGAGGCAGGTGGATAATGAGAGGAATACATGAGGGACTGAGTGATTTGAATGGCAGAGCTGCTTTTTTTGGGAGAGAGCAGGTGAAGAGAAACAGCAATGGTGTCTGAAAGTAAAACAACAAGCAGTGTCTCACAGTGGGCTTGTCTTCACTTCAGAATAACTTGAGTTATAACACAAGTGTTGCCCCATCCTGAGTCTTGTCCACACACACAAGCCCTTAACTTCAGTGCGGTGGTGCTTTTCACTTGGGTTGGCTGGCTCGAGTTTAGAGTAAAGGATAAAATCAAGTGAGAACAATTTGCTGGCTGCTAGCACAACCATTCTGCAGTCTGGACACAAGCTAATGCCACTGGTGTGATGGTAGTCCTCCAGGGCCTTCCCACAATTCTCCTGTGTTCCCAGAAAAGACAGACACACTCTCCCACAGTTACTAGGAAAATATTCAAAAAGCAGCTCATCTTACAGCAATGCTAGGAACCATGGGATGTGCCCCCTGAAGCCTTACTGCTGCACATGAGTGAGTGCAGCACCATGGGAGGTGCAGCAGCTCAAGTGTAATTTCACAGTGTGGCTGCTCTCACTCGAACTAGGGTAACTGGAGAGAAATAATTCAGTTTACTCTGCCACGAATACATATCCATTATGGCTGAAGGGGTCATTCGTTTTTTGTGGCAGGAGTACTTTGGATCTCAATCTGGGAGGAGAATTTCTTTTTGAACACTGGCTGGTATCTCAAAGTGGTGGAAATTGTTCTTTATGGGGAGCATGAGCTTAAATATATCCCTGTGTAAACTCCACTGGAAATTACTTCAGCGATGAATTTAGCTGATGGTGTTTGAAAGAGGATGGAGTTTCTATTAATTTAGAAGAGAGTGGATCTCTAGTAGTCTTTGCCCCATCCCATGGCCTGAAGTGTATGTGTGGGTGTGTAGAGAAATGAACCACCATCTGTTTCTCCACAAAATCTCTATTACAGAAGAGCCTGGTTACACAGGGGAACCTCATGTGTATCTTGCATTTACAGCTGTCTCCATAGACATGATTAATCAATAAAAAGTTTGATACATGATATGCCTCTCCTGTAGAAAAAAATTCTGTATCTCTTGTTTCACAGTCATGTGTGAAGAGACTGTGTTCATTCATTGTTTTTTTTATTCCAGTGTACCTTTTTATATGCCCCTTCTAAGCTGGCACATAAAATTCAACAATGTGTATTCTAAATAATATTCTTTCCTTTCTGCCCCTTCACAGAATCTGTACCAAAACAGGTTCCTAGGCCTGGCTGCCATGGCGTCTCCATCTAGGAACTCACAGAATCGGCGCCGGTGTAAAGAACCGCTCAGATACAGCTACAACCCTGACCAGTTTCATAACATGGACATCAGGAACAACTCCCATGAGACGGTAACCATTCCACGGTCCACCAGTGACACTGACCTGGTCACTTCAGACAGCCGATCTACTCTAATGGTCAGCAGTTCGTATTATTCCATAGGACATTCACAGGACCTAGTGATCTATTGGGATATAAAGGAAGAAGTAGATGCAGGGGATTGGATCGGCATGTATCTCATTGGTAAGTCCTGCCTGCCTTTGCATTTCCAATAGCTTTTATTTTTTAATTTTGAGTGTATTAGTGAACAGTAAAGTAAGGGGCAAACAGAACTTTCTTGGTCTAACATCGGCAAGCTTATATACATAGTTCTTCAAAGGCCTCTTTGTCCTAAATTGTCACGCAGTCCTGATCTTCTTTTGCCTGAGTAAGCATTGATTAGGATCTTTAGGGTTCTGTCTACACCAGAGGTGGGCAAACTATGGCCCGCGAGTCACATCCGGCCTGCGGGACCGGCCTGCCTGGCCTTTGAGCTCCCAGCCAGGGTGGCTAGCCCCCGGCCCCTTCCCCGCAGCCTCAGCTTGCTGTGCCTCCAGTGCTCTGGCCAGCAGGGCTGCGAGCGCCTGCTGAGCAGTGCGGCGGCATGGCTGGCTCCGGCCAGGCAGCGAGGCTGCCAGACATGCTGCTCTGAGCGGCATGGTAAGGGGGCAGGGAGCAGGGGGTTGGATAAGGGGAGGGGGTATCAGGGAGGGGAGTCAGGGGATGGTTGGATGGGGCGTAGGTTCTGCGGGGGGGTGGTCAGGAGATGGGGAATGGGGGGGGGTTGGATAGGCGTGGGAGTCTCAGGGGGCCTGTCAGGGGGAGGGGTTGTGGATAGGGGAGAGGGCAGTCAGGGGACAGGGAGCAGGGCGGATTGTATGGGTGGTGGGGTCCTGGCGGGGGGTGATTAGGGATGGGGGTCATGGGAGGGGACGGTCAGGGGACAAGGAGCGGGGGGGTTGGATGGGTGGGAGGTTCTGAGGGGAGCAGTCATGGGGTGGATAGGGGGCGGGGGCTAGGCTGTTTGGGGAGGCACAGCCTTCCCTACCCGGCCCTCCATACAGTTTTGGAACCCCGATGTGGCCCTCAGGCCAAAAAGTTTGCCCACCCCTGGTCTACACTGTGGACAGTTTCCCAAAATTTCAAACTGGTTTGATTTTAAAGCAGTTTGAATTTTTGGGGAAATGTCCCCAGGCTAGACAAAGCCTAGGATTCCAAGCATCTACCAGTGCAAGTCCTTACTCATCTGAGTAGTCTTTACTGCAGTGAGACTACTCACACCATTAAGCATTATGCAAGCTTATAAGGTTTTGCAGAAACAGAGCCTTAGCCCTTTGAAAAGCAATGAGCAGAATGTCTTTTCTCTGTATAACTAAAGAATACTTAGATATGAGTAATAAAAATTAGTAACAACGGACACATACTTCACTTCTTTTCTTCAGTACAAAATGAAGATTTTTAAATACTTCATTTAAAAAAGAATGGTTAGGAAATTTAAAATCTTTGCGCAGGATTCAGAACAGATACACTGAGGGCTTCATCCTCCAATGTACTGAGCACTCAGATCTGATCCAGTGATGCACTTAAGCATGTGGTTAAAGTTAAGCACATGAGTTGCCCTATTGGCTTAAATGGGGATACCTCATAGAATCATAGAAATGTAGGGCTGGAAAGGAACTTGAGAGATCTAGTTCAGGGGTTCTCAAACTGGGGCTCAGGAGGTCACGAGGTTATTACATGGGGAGCTGTCAGCCTCCACCCCAAACCCCGCTTTGCCTCCAGCATTTATAATGGTGTTAAATATATAAAAAAGTGTTTTTAATATATCGGGGGGGTTGCATTCAGAGGCTTGCTATGTGAAAGGGGTCACCAGTACAAAAGTTTGAGAACCACTGATCTAGTTCATCCCTCTCCGCTGAGGCAGGATCTAGTATACATAGGCCATCGGACAGGTGTTTGTCTAACATGTTCTTAAACTCATGTGCTTAAAGTGAAGTACATGCTTAAGTGCTTTATTGGATATGTCCAGAATGCTCAGTACCTTGAAGGAGCAAGTCCGAAGAAACATACCAGCACAAAAAACAAATGGTCACTTACACCAAAAATCACACCTCACGCAGGTTACTTCCAGTCCCAAGGGACCAGTCACTAACCCCAGAGCAATCGGTAACCTAGATCTCATATCAAAGACAAGACCTGTAGCCAATCCTGTAATAAACTACCAAAAGCTTTATTAACTAGAAAAAAGAAATGAGTTATTTACAGGTTAAAGCAAGCAACCATATACACACAAATGAGTGATCATCTGAATCCTAAGAGTGACAGAGTTGTGATCTGTCAATTCAAAGTATCTTTCAGGGTGGACCCGGGGTAACCCCAGGGATCTCTGCTTCAATGTCACGCTGTCTGGAGTGGCTCACAACTGTGAATGCTTCCAGACAGCGTGACACAACTCTAACAGGATTATGCCACTACAATACAAGAGACTGTCTACTCTGCATTTAATACAGCAGAATCCTGGTCATCGGAGCTGTTTAACATGGTGCACTGGCTAATCAACCCAGATTCCATACCCCCGATACTGGACCCAAGCATCAACCACTGTGAAGAGCTGTCAGTGTACCCCGCTGTTAAAATCAACTGAATATATCTGGAGCTAGTTGGGAAAGGAAATTCTACCTCTGACCAGATTGCAATATCCACCTCACCACCCAAGCTGAGTTTGGACCCATCACACATTCCGAAGGTCAGGAAGCTCTGAAAATATAACAGCCACAACCAGTTAAACGAATCCATGCTGGATGCCAGTACTAATGGACATGGTCAGTGGCTCCTTCAGAGCACACTTACCAGCCTCCTTGAAAAATGCAATAGTTTGTCCAGGGCTCAAGAAGCTGTCAGTCAACCCTGAACTTCAACTACGGTTCTGTCTCCAACCTCCCATTCCTGGTCAAAATAAATTGGAAAGTAGTAATCACCAAAATATCAAACCCACAAAACCCTAAGCAGTTTTCATCCCAAAAAGGAAAATGTGCCAGGGACTCCCTGAAGCTTGCCGGGAACTGCACTATTGCTGTCCGCTTTACATGGAAGGTGCTCAGATACTGCAGTGATGGACAGCAGTATAAAACCCTAAGACACAGAGATTCTAGGTACATAGTACAATAGTGCTGGGAATGTGTTTTTGTATACTTTGAATATGAAACATAGAATGGTACATTTTTCTGGTACAGCAACCTGACAGTTACCCTTGTAGTAGCTAGTAAATTACAAATTAACTTGTTACACAGTTAATCCATGGGAGGGGAAAATCCATGGATTCTTGTGGAGTAGGTTTTTCCCTGGATTTATAGATTCATAGACATTAAGGCCAGAAGGGACCATTATGATCATCTAGTCTGACCTCCTGCACAACACAGGCCACAGAATCTCACCCACCCACTCCTTCAAGAAACCTCTCACCTATGTCTGAGCTATTGAAGTCCTCAAATTGTGGTTTAAAGACTTCAAGGAGCAGAGGATCCTCCAGCAAGTGACCCGTGCCCCATGCTGCAGAGGCAGGCGAAAAACCTCCAGGGCCTCTGCCAATCTGCCCTGGAGGAAAATTCCTTCCCGACCCCAAATATGGTGATCAGCTGAACCCTGAGCATGTGGGCAAGAGTCACAAAGCTTTCTAGAATCTACATCTCCATGGCAGAAAGAAGAAAGTGTCCGGGCCCTTCTGGATATGAAGGGAACATTCACAATGTAAAATGATACATGGCTGGGTTTCTGAGTTAGCAGCCAGCCAGACTGGAACAAGCATACCAAAAAACCTGTGCACTTCCCCAGTCAACTCAATAGGGGATTAGCCCTGCAGCCTGTTGTCACCACTGAAATGACAGCATTGTTAACCATTTCCATCCTGATGATCATAACCAGAAATGCCCAGTTAATGTGGTTGTGTGTGTAGTTAGGGGGTGGTCTTATATTCTGAGCTTCTTTTTCATTTGAATTCCTGGGAACAAAGCTGAAAGTTTTAAACATGGAAATAGTTTAATGTTATGTTGATTCATGAAGTAACTGAGAAACTGTTTATGCTCTATGGGGATCGTGCAGAGTGTTGTGGTATTTTATTGTTGTTTTTTTATAAAGCTTGGTCCAGCAGCATTAGTATTATTATTTATTGTTTGTGTTACTGTAGCACCTAGGAGCCCTAGTCATGGATGAGGACCCCATTGTGATAGGCAACTGTACAAACAGAACAAAAAACAATCCCTGCCCCAGAGTTTACAATCATTTTCACTTTAATAAATTAGGAAATATCCCTATATGTTTTTGTTGGGTCCTGATGTTGAAATGTTTAGGGAAAATATCTTTTCCCCACCAGCAACACTCACTGAGAAATTTTGGAGATATCTGATAAACCACAAACTTCCAAATAAAGATAGTCCAAACCTTGAAAAGACACAGCATTTGGCAACAAGGAATATCTGGTGGGTAGAAGATATATTCTGATGAAGAAGGTTTCAAGAAGGGAGAAGAGTAAAAAGAGCTAGATCATAGTGGACAAGTATTTAGAGAATGAGACCACTGGATGTTTTTGTGAAGGCATATTCCAGTCAAGTAGTTAAAGTAGATTGAAATGGGAGAGGGGGGCTCTCACCATACCAGCCAAGGATTTGGGGATATTCAGGGAGAATGTTGCTTACTGAAGTCCCGGAGAGAAGTAGCAGTGCTTCCTCTGCTTTTACAGAAGGGGGAAAAGGGGTTCATGCTCTCCTCACCCTGCCCCCCTCACTTGAATCCCTGTTCAGATATTAGCTTATGGCAAATTGGGAGCTCATCTTTATCTAAAACTGGTAAAAGATAAGTTTAGAACTGATATCAGAGTTAATCTCCTTCTACAAGAAAGGGTTGTCATCCATGAGGAGAGGTAGTACAGAATAAGTTAAGAAAATGATGGTCATGTAATTAGTGTCCAGTAATACTATTGGGTATACCTGTTTAAAAAGCTACATGGATTCCAGTGATAACAAAGTGGAGAAGTTAATACATCCCCACAATCAACAGTTGATTTTGTAAATGTATGTGATAGACGAGCATTAGGGTATGTCTACACTACGGAATAAGGTCGAATTTATAGAAGTCGGTTTTTTAGAAATCGGTTTTATAAATTCGAGTGTGTGTGTCCCCACAGAAAATGCTCTAAGTGCATTAAGTGC